GTTTGTTGTCTTTCCTGTGGGTGGGCAGCAGACGGATGCAAGAGTGTGAGAAAAAAACAAGTAACCGGAGTAGAAAGGTGTGATTGTGAGTTAAGAGGAGAACATGAGTGTGTGAGCGAGTGAGTGAGAGAGAGAGAGAGATAAAGGGAAGCGGGTGGGAGGATCTTCTTCATTCAGCAGTAACTCTTCATCAGACTCTTGAGGAGACAGAAATAAAGACCCCGGCAGGAGCACACACACAGCTCAAGTGTTTCTCAGCGAGCGTCTGGATGGAGGGAGACGGAGGTGTGGAGCTCACACAGAGCCCTGAGACTCTCACCGAGGACGACGTCTGTGTGATCCAGGACACGTGGAGACCCGTCTACGAGAACCGCGAGAACGCTGGAGTCGCTGTGCTCATCAGGTACGCCTTATTTACACACATCAATCATTCACAAAAACTAACATGTTATCACTGTGATTGTTTGCACATGCAGCATAGCTTTCTACTTATGTTAGACCCAGGTCTTCTGGGCATGCACCATAGTAATTCCATGGTATTTTGGACATTTATAGGTAATATCCTAGTTTTTGGAAATACACAATGGTAAAACCGTGTTTTGCCTTTTTTGAACAGGTACCATGATAATGGGTCGCCGTGATTTTGCCAAGTAAGACATGTTCCTGGAACAACCTCTTTTGGTGATCCTGGATCAACATTACTGTCCAAAAATATAGACTTAACCCAATCTCTACCCCTAAACCTAACCCTACCCATACATTTATTCCTAAAAACAGTGTGAAATGATAGCTGATAAACAAGGGTGTAGAAGCACCTAACCCTGATTGTAAAGCCTAAAACAGATATTTCCTGAAAAGTTATCCCTCAATTCTGATTGGTTGATAGGAATGTTGTTCCAAGATCAACAAGAATGTTGATCCAGGAACATGTTGTACTTGGTGAAATCACGCTCACCATGATAATGCTTGGTTGTTTGGACATTTACCATAGTTATTATGTCACAGTTTTTGATTAGCACTATGGTGGTACAATGAGTTGTACCACCATGGTGTTTTGACATTTATAATTGGCAAGTTTTGAATAAAAAAACAAACAAAAAAACAATTTTATTTGTACAATGATAATACCATGGTTACCAGTTTGCAGTATGCACAGTGGTAGTACAATGAATGTACCATGGTAATACAGTGTTTTTGATCATTTACCATGATGGTTTTGACATTAATATTTGATAATACAAGAGGTTTTGAAAATGCACCATTGTAGGACCATTTTTGGTCTTTTTTCTTTCTTTTTTTGTACTATTGCAATACTATTTTTGTTTGGACATTTACCATGGCTACACCCTAGTTTTGACATGCACCATAGAAATGCAAAAATGTTAACATATACCATAACAGTGTTTTGGGGCATGTATCAAGGTGTATTCATGTTTGTGTGTGTGTGTGTGTGTGTGTGTATGTGTATGTGTATATATATATATATATATAGATAGATATAGATATATATATACACACACATAGTATTTGGAAATATATCATGCTACTGAATGACTGTCATTATGTATGACATATCATCACATATATATGCCATACGTAATGACAGTCATTCAGTAGCATGATATATTTCCAAGTACTTGCAATTGCACTGGTGTTTCTGGTCTGGAGATCCAATTAAAGAAACAACACAGAAGCTATGTCTGAAGTGGCATTTAGATGCATTTACTCACTGTTTAATGCAGAACATGAATGCATTTAACCTGCAGTTACAAATGTATTAATACGGTTTTGATATATTAAACATAAAACGTTGAATACTGATATTTGAAATAAAAAAATAAATAAAAATGAAAAGATACTTTAAATGTTAAATTGAAACCGCCAGTAGGTGGCAGCAAGTCACTGTTAATAAGAGAGAAATTGTGATTGAACCAAATCATTTAAACGGTTGATTCATTCAGGGACGAATCACCGTCATGTTGCTCAGAAATGCAAATTGGATTTATATTTGTTGGGGAAATAGAGCAAAAACAGCCAATATTGTGTCTAAAACGTAAGTGTCTTAATATTAAATTCTTGTTTATTGAACTGCTGTATAAAATCAATATCACATTTGTAATCATGCTGCTTTTTGGTTGAAAAAATGTCAGTCTTCGCATGATACTGATTAACTTTATGAAATGATATAAATATATACATTTCTGCAAAGGGGAGAAAGGCATCGGAACTCGACACAGTCAACATTTCCAGACCAGACCAGACCCGACCTGATAGTTTGATTTTTTTATTTGTTTGACAGGGAAAGCTGTGCGCAAACAGAAACACACACGCACACATATATACATATATTAATTTATTTAAAAAATACAAAAAAAACACTCCCCAGAAAAAAGGGCACTTTCTCTCGAGGAAGAAAAAGGGCAGGTGCTCAAGCCCCCTTTGATGTCTATGTGTGCACGTGCCTGGGCACAACCTTAAAACATTATTAAGAGTTAATAATAATAGAAAGAATGAAAAGAATGTGCATTTGTATTTATATTATATAAAACCTATTTACTGTAGTTTATACATGTATGATATCAGTAGATCTATTGCAAATAAAAAAATTAATAAATAAAATTATGATTCAGTGCAGTTTTTTTGCTTGTAATATTTGATATCATATTATTTTTAAAGAGGTCTGTTCCTGCTGTTCTTCTGATGTTCAGGAATCTGGTGAATTTGAGCAAATCATAACACAGCGTGAAGTTTTTCCACATGAAAGCCTCACGTGAGCTCATATTTCTTCATTCCTGACCTGTGCACATCTGACAGCGCTTTAGGATTGCGATGGAGCGATGGATTAATTTCTCTCTAAAGATAACAGCTCACATCTATCTGAAGATCACACCTGAAGGGCTGCACTAAAGATTCCAAGATTCCTTCTTTCAGCTCGTGAAATTAGATTTATTTCTCAGAGGGGACGTGCTTTTAAGTGGACGTTCACAGGAGGAGACTGTATATCTCCCTGTGATGCTTTAATTTAGCAGGTCAGTGGATTAAATCAGATATTATCATCCATTTTGCTGTAAATTTTATTAAAATCACCCTCCATGGCACCCTTTCATCTCTGTTACTAGTTGATGACAAAAAGCACCAGACTGCAGCCAAGAGGAAGTTACAAACGGCAAAAACATCTCAGTTGTGAAGTGTGCACACTGTCGCTGACTTGCAAGAGAGCAGCAACAAACAACAGTTTAGGAAAGTGAGAGACAAAGGAGAGCGAGTGAACGGAGAGACAACTGGAATCAAAAGTCAAAAAAGAACCAACCAAATTATCAAAATGTCTAGATGCTCCCTACGTCTCATCTATTTTTAGCACAATTTTCTCATTCTGTGCAAATCAATTCACAAACCACAGTGAACCTTCCTTCATTTTATAAAAAATCAACACGACATGACATAGAACAAGAACCTGAATGTCTTAAAGAGATAATTCACTGTCATCATTCACACCAAGAACAATAACTACAGCAATAAGTATATTAGCATCCACCCTGTAATGGAAGATAACTGTATCAATAACTATATCAGTATTAGTGTCCCCACCAACAGACGATAACTATAATGATAACTATATTAGTGTCCCCACCAACAGACAATAACTAATGATAACTATATTAGTGTACCCACCAACAGATGATAACTATAATGATAACTATATTAGTGTCCCCACCAACAGACGATAACTATAATGATAACTATATTAGTGTCCCCACCAACAGATGATAACTATAATGATAACTATATTAGTGTCCCCACAAACAGACGATAACTATAATAACTATATTAGTGTCCCCACCAACAGATGATAACTATAATGATAACTATATTAGTGTTCCCACCAACGGACGATAACTATAATAACTATATTAGTGTCCCCACCAACAGACGATAACTAATGATAACTATATTAGTGTCCCCACCTTCAGACGATAACTAATGAACTGTTCATCTACGCTCTCTGTTTATTATCCTCATGATTGTTTTCATGTTTCCAGGGGATTTTAACTGCCTTTGCTCGTCCTACAGCCGCTGACACATGAATCTGGAGTCAGAGGTTAAGAGCGCATGTACTTAAACATGAGTTATGGTCTACATTAAGATGAGAGAAAAACACAGTCTCTCTTTATCTCCTGTTTGATTTGGAGATGTGAGGACACGTCTCCTCTGTGAGCATTTACTAGATTCTGTCTCTTTTTAATGGGACAGATCTTCCTGTTGCGGTTTGACTCACGGTTCAGTTCTGTGGGTCGTAAGAGGTGAAACAGTTGATGGAGCTCGTTGAAACAACATCACAGCCACTTTAGCGCTGGCTGCATGAGGCACGACTGTAAAAACACGAAAGATGCTTCAGTCAGATAGATTTACTAATCATAATAAAGCAGTATATCAAAGCAAAAATTTAATTAAATTTAAAAGCAACATGAAATCAAAACCAACTCTATTTAATTTTAAGATTCCTCTTTGTCATTTATCTTCAAAATCTTTCATTGAAATGTTCTAATAATTATAATAATATATATTTTATCCAAAAATCTGATTCCATTTAGCCATAAAACACTCACTTTTTATGATTCAACCCTTAAAACCCTTCATTGTATCTGATTTTTTGCTTAATAAAATGTTTGTTTTCAGTTTATTTTTTTAAATTATTTAGCAAGTCAACATGAATTTATAAGCAAGACAAAGACAAATAATATTAATAATTTGTGACATATTATTGTGCATATCCACTGCCTTAGAAAATGTCACCTGTAACAGGTGCAACATATACAAATATGAAAATTATAAATGTTGCCTTTGCTGAAATAAATGAAGTTTAATGAAGTTTAACCCTAACCCTAACCCTAGTCCAAGTATTAAAAATGACTAAAACTAAAACTGAAAAAAAAATAAATAAATAAATAAATAAATAAATATAAATAAATATAATACAATTATTTTTTGAAAATAAAACTCAGACATTACTAGTAAATTCCACAAATAATTACAAAGAAATGGCAAATAACACATTGGATTTAACATGAACATTTTAGGTAGAAAAACTGAAATAGTATTTTCTTGTAGCATCAATAATCTTTGCCTAATTAAAGCTTAAAAAAAATTATAAAAATGCTGGTGTATTTGGTTTATTTAAAGGTTTGTTCAACCCACAATTAAAATGAATGAAATCATTTAAGCTCCCTTTTGTTATGCAACTGGAACAGATTCTCTCATGAGATCATTTAGTTCTTACAGGAATGCTTTTTTTTTTTTAATAGAGTAAACTAGTCCACTCTTGTTCTACTGCGTTACATCGGAGTAAACACATACAGTAGCGTTCAGAGCTGAGGACATTTACAGTAACACTGGAAATGTCACTGATGCAGCTGAATTGTGAATTTAGTTTTATATTTAGGGCTATTCGTTGCAACTAAAAATATAAAAACAAAAGCTAATTCAAAATTGACGTCAAGGCAGAAACTTGCACCTGAGTGTTTGTGCTGCTTCTGCTGGATGAGAGTAATAACACAGAGAAGCTACAATCACAACACAAACATGTGAGCATGTGTCAGGAACGACGGCACCCATGTCACACACACTACAGAGTTCAACGTGCTCAACATCCCTTTAACTGCTTCTAGGTCATTTTTATCACTAAGTTAAGTGAGTTTTATTGCAGTATTTGTTGTGAGTGAAGGAGAATTTCAGCAATGCTTGTTAAATATTAGATTAGTATTATCTCAGGAACGCTTATCTGTCCAGCTGGGCTGAAATACACTTTGTCACACACGGCACAGCTCACTTTCACATGTTTATCTTTTACGATCCTCATGAAATGGCTGCACGGCCCTGCTATAACGTGTTTCCTATTAACGTTTGCAGGCTCAATCTGGAACCTAATCCTCCACTACATACTACACATTTTTATTATTATAAACGATCATAAATGAATGAAGATTGGTAACTGTACTCTGATCATGTGATGACAAGGATCTTCTGTTCCAGTCCAATCGAAATGCTGCTGTGTGTGGCTCACTTGTGCATGTCTGTAAAATCAGTCAATAATAAACATCACAAAATTATTATATTTCATTGAAACAATTCAACAAGACATTTTTAATTCAATGAAACATGATCATGTTATAATAATAATAATAATCTTTTAACCTTGTGTCATTCCAAACCCATATGACTTTCTTTTTTCTGTGGAACATAAAGGTGATATTTGACAGATATTGGGAACCAAGTAATATTGGAGCCCACATCTCAAAATATCACCTTTTAAGTTTCAAAGAAGAAAGAAAGTCATAGGGGTTTAAAGGAATAGTTCATTAAAAAAAAATGAAAATTTGCTGAAAATGTTCTCACTTTCAGGTCATCCAGGAGTAGATGAGTTTCTTCATCAGAGTTGGAGAAATGTAGCACTACAACACTTGCTCAGCAATGGATCCTCTGCAGTGAATGGGTGCCGTCAGAATGAGAGCTGATTAAAACATCACAATAATCCACAAGTAGTCCACACCACTCCAGTCCGGCAATTAATGTCCTGTGAAGAGAAAAGCTGTGTGTTTATAAGAAAAAAAATTATTAAGATGTTTTTAACATCAAACCATTAAAATATGAGTCCTTTATCCATAACATTGCCTCCTCCAGTGAACGAGTCATCTCGTCTGAATCAGGAGAGACATCTGCACAGATCAAGCAACGTTTACAAGCCAAAACATATCTAAACAGCTCTAAACAAATATGAGGGTAGATTTTGATGTGAGAGACAACAGATGGCCTTTTTCACTGGAGGAAGCATTAGGCAATTAATGTCCTGTGAAGAGAAAAGCTGCGTGTTTATAAGAAAAAAATTTATTAAGATGTTTTTAACATCAAACCATTAAAATATGAGTCCTTTATCCATAACATTGCCTCCTCCAGTGAACGAGTCATCTCGTCTGAATCAGGAGAGACATCTGCACAGATCAAGCAACGTTTACAAGCCAAAACATATCTAAACAGCTCTAAACAAATATGAGGGTAGATTTTGATGTGAGAGACAACAGATGGCCTTTTTCACTGGAGGAAGCATTATTATGGATTATGGAGTTGGAAGCAGCTTTAATAATAGATTAGTTTTTTACAAACACGCAGCTTTTCACTTCAGAAAGACATTAACTGATGGACTGGAGTGGTTTGGATTACTTGTGGATTATTGTGATGTTTTTATCAGCTGTTTGGACTCTCATTCTGACGGCACCCATTCACTGCAGTGCATCCATTGCTGAGCACGTGATGTAATGATACATTTCTCCAAATCTGATGAAGAAACAAACTTTTGGATGGCCTGAGAATGAGCAAATTTCACTTTTGGGTGAACTATTCTTTTAAATCTTATGAGGGGTGGGGTCAGGGTGTCAATGAATTTTTGTTTTGAAAGTAACAATGTGTGTTCCTCCAGATTTTTCTCAAACTTCCCGTCGGCGAAGCAGTACTTCGATCAGTTCCGTGACATGCAGGATCCCGAGGAGATGAAGCAAAGCATCCAGCTGAAGAAACACGGGCTGCGGGTCCTGACCGCCCTCAACACGCTGGTGGAAAACCTGCGTGATGGAGACAAACTCAACACCATCTTCCAGCAGATGGGCAAATCACACGCGCTCAGACACAAGGTGGATCCGGTTTACTTCAAAGTGAGCATGAGGAACAAACACCATGATACAAAGTTATAAAGGATGTTTTTGAAAGAAGTCTCTTCTGCTCAATAAGGCTGCATTTAATTTATTAAAATACAGCAAAAACAGTAATATTGTGAAATATTATTGCAGTTTAAAATAACTGTTTTCTATGTTGTAAAATGTAATTTACTTCTGTGAATTTTCAGCATCATTACTCCAGTCTTCAGTGTCACATGATCCTTCAGAAATCACTCTAATATGCTGATTTGCTGCTCAAGAAACATTTCTGATTATTATCAATGTTGAAAACAGATGTGCTGCTTCATATTTTGTTGAAACTGTGATACATTTTATTTTTCAGGATTTATTGATGAATGAATAGCAGAAAATAACAGCATTTATTTGAAATAGAAATCTTTGTAACATTAAAAAATGTCTTTACTGTCACTTTTGATCAATTGACTGAGTCCTTGCTGAGTAAAATTATTAATATCTTACTGCAGATTCTGGCTGGAGTAATTCTGGAGGTGCTGGTGGAAGCTTTCCCACAATGCTTCAGTCCGGCATCAGTGCAGAGCGCGTGGTCTAAACTCCTGGGCGTCCTGTACTGGCAGATGAACAAAGTCTACGCTGAAGTCGGCTGGGAATCCATCAAAAACTCTGCAAAGTAAAGGAGAGAATAAATGCATAATTATATGAATGAAACCAAAGATTATTACAGTAATGTCATGTATATTTGATTCATTTCTATAAGTGAACGAAAAAGACGTAGTAGAAAATAAAGACATGTTGTTGTTGTAAAATGAGCTCATACAAGACAATGTTTTATAAATGTTGATGGACTCTACATGATATTTTATCTGGACTTTATCGATGTCATATCCCTAGCAACTGTTATTCAGCTCAGATAATAAACACACATATAAATCAGTGCAGAAATCTCAAGCTCTCTGCAGTCCGTCTCCCATTAAATATTTACACATACTCCAGATAAACCATGGGCCTGTACACAAACACGACCTCCATCAGATACAAAAATGTGCATTTCTGATGAAACATTCGGGTCTCTGCTGGAGCTTTAGATAGATATCCAATTCATCTAAAGCAGATGTTTTTGAAAGCGACTTTTGTATCAGCCGCTTCCTCTGCGTGCTGTGAGCAAAATGAGTAGAAAGGACTGTTCTGTGCAAAAGTACCTAAACTGATTCTTTTGTACTTATTCAAATGTTTTGTACATGTAAAATAATCACTGATTCAGAAATAAACTCTGAAACATTAAAGAAATAAACTCTGAGTCTTGCACTTTTTATAGACCATAATACTATATATATATACACATTCAGATTTTTTGTTTGTTCGTGTGTTTTTGAAAGAAGTCTCTTCTGCTCACCAAGGCTGCATTTATGTGATCAAAAGTAAAAATAGTGAAATATTATTATAATTTAAATAACTGTTTTCTATGTTTATATATTGTATAATCCTTACTCCAGTCTTCAGTGTCACATGATCCTTCAGAAATAATTTTAATATGCTGATTTGCTGCTCAAGAAATACAGTGGTGTGAAAAAGTGATTTCTTATTTTTTTGCATGTTTGTCACACTTTAATGTTTCAGATCATCAAACAAATTTAAATATTACACAAAGATAATGCAAGTAAATACAAAATGCAGTTTTTAAATGATGATTTCATTTATTAAGGGAAAAAAGCTGTCCAAACCTACGTGGCCCTACGTGAAAAATCAATTGACCCCTCCTGTTAAATCATGAAAGAACTGCAATTAACCACATTATTTTAGAAAGCTGAGTTAAATTTCACTAGCCACACCCAGACCTAATTACTGCCAGATCTGAATCTTTTAAGTGTGACAAATATGCAAAAATAAAAAAAAACAGGAAGGGGGCCAACACTTTTCACACCACTGTATTTCTGATTATTAGCAATGCTGAAAATTGTTGTACTGCAGAATATTTTGTGAAAACATGCCACAAAAATTGATTATGCTTTCACAGGAATAGCATTAACTGTAGTAAATGTGGAATGTTGACTGACATTATGGATAAAGTCATGGAAGCAAACACTGTATACTGAGAGCTGAACGTGATTAAATTTCTATTAAATTAGTTATTTTATCAGCGTTTTCACCTGCAGTCTGTGCCCGTGTGTGATAATCTACAGTGAACCAGAGATATTCAGCTTATGACCTGATCAAACTTTACAAAGGAACTGAGAAAACTTCATTATCAAGAGCTGCGTGATAAAATGAGCGTTGGAGAGAAAGATAAACCATGAATGGAGTAAATGTGCGGAACTCAGCAGGACAAATGTCAGTTTAAAGCTCTGTGCATGTGTGTGTGTGTGTGTGTTTACACAGATGTAGAAATGGCCTGCAGCATCAGACAGACAGACAGACAGATCTGACCACCTGCTGCTCACAGACTCAAGTGGAAACAGAGCTGCACTTCATTCTTTCCCCATTTTACCCCTTCAGGAATTTTCAATGGTAAACCAGTTCTTAAAACTCCTATATCCGCTCAGAGAAACCCTATACCCCTAAACCTACCCCTCACACAAAACTTGGATTTTGGGATTTGTTTTTTTGTTTTTTTCCCAAAAACTGCATTCTGTATGATTTATAAACTTGTTTCTTCAAGGGGGGAAGAAACTTCCTCAAGTTTATAAACTTGTTTCCTCCAAAAAAAAGTGTTCCCACCACATGGTTAAAATGTACTGGTATTACTTGTAGGGCTATTTGGTCCCTATAATGTAGGGAATACCAGGTTGGATGGCTTTTTTTTGTAATTGATTGAAATAAAGCTGAAACAAAAATGAGAAGTAAAACACTTCAACTTGCAGCGGTAAAATTAATGCCAAGTTCTGTCCCTATTTTAACGATCTAAGCGCATGGTCTAAAGCTCACAGCGCACTCAGGGCGTGTCCGAATCCACTTTTGCTAGTTTAACGACGGGAAAACGGTCGGTGCACCCGGGCACATGGTCTTAAAGGGTTGTTCCTATTCTCTTAATGAGTAATGGGTGTTTTTTGGGCATAACGTGCAATAAACCAATCAGAGTCTCATCTCCTATCCCCTTTAAAAGACAGTTGCGCTCATGCCAAAAATGTTTGTGTGCTGAAAAGTGTAAAGTATACGTGCGTTTTGCACCCATCTATAGGCACATATTACTAACGCACTCTTTAAATAACATAGACAAAATATTGCGACAGACTTTAGACCAGGTTTTTATTGGTCTATGGGGCAGTCTATTTTCATTTCCTCAAAATAGCAACGTGCCATCAATGCGCCTGAACACACCTCTTTTTTTAGACCAGCACGCCCATGGGCGCACAAATGGGCACAAATGCATTTGCTATTTAAACAACGTGGCACAGGACGGGAAAGTGAGGACTACGTCCGGCTGAAACTAGCAAAAGCATTGCGTCGGGTGTATGATAGGGCCCTAAAACTTTAGATGGTGCAGGCTGATGGGTCCTTAACGTAAACTGATGATATTCTCAGTGTTAAACAACTTGGCACAAGCTGATTGGTTCATGTTGCATAGGCAGCCAATAAGCTTGTTGCTTTACATTTAAATGGCTGGTTAGCATTTACTAGACCATTTTGCACTGTGCTTTCAGAGCTACTCTGAAACCCCCACCTTCCCCAGCTCCACCTGTATAGATCTGCTATGGGCAGTGTTGGGGAGTAGCTAGCTACAAGTAGCGACGCTACCAGCTTAACTACATTTATCAGTAGCTTTACAGTAGAGATGCTACTTTTAAAACAGTGTAGCTTTTCCTGTAGCTAACTACTTTTTCCAGCAAGTAGCGATGTAGCGCGACCAAACGCTTAATTACGTGTTGTGTTCTGACGAGTCACAAGCCTGTAACGCATTGAAGCAGTGCAGCGTCTTCTTCTGACTAGATCACAAACTAAATTTGTTCTTTACCGCCATCTGTTGTGATTTCACGCATCTTTACAGTATTTCCACCGACAAGAGATCGCCTGATGATATTGCAAAAGATTTCACATGAATCAACTGTAATTTACGCAAAACAAAGATTAAAATGCGGTCTACGTCGAAGATTTAAAGCACATACAGGAGGTGAATAATAGCCTTTTTAAACGGATAAATTTTTTCTTCTTTATTACAATCTAGATCAAATGTCTGTTTTATAATGATGAATGCAGAGGTGTAAAGGATTGGAGTAAATGTACTTAGTTACTGTACTTGAGTATCTTTTCGGGTACTTTGTAGTTGTACTGAGTATCAAAGATATTAGCAACTTTTACTCTTTACTCCACTACATTTCTGAATGAGTATCTGTACTCTTTTCTCCACTACATTTGAAATGAGTGTTGCAGTTACAAATTACATTTTGCATGGACCTAGCTTTTTCTGCGGCAGTTTATTGCTGCTACAAAAGACGTGATACTGCCTGCTACAGGTCACTGCAAGTACTGCGTTTTGCCCTTACTCACCCAAACTTGTCAACAAGGCTACTTTATGTGAATGCAAGTTCCTTAGCAAGTATTTGTGAATCACAGATGTTTTATATATGAGATGTGGGCATGACTGCAGCCAGCAATGAAGCCCAAACCAGCACATCCAGTGCAAGAAGGCTTCGGCTTTTTAATTTTACTTAACATTTTTTTTATTTATCCATTATACTGAAGATACCTTTTTGAAATATATTGTTTTTTTGTTTGTTTGTTTTGTTTTGTAATTTTGAGGTGTTCTCTTTACACCTCTGGATGAATGTCATAATATAATCTGTCCCCCCACAGTTTTGTAATAACACTAATCGAACAGAAAATAAAATTGCGATATAGTAGTGTGCTTGTCATTTGGCAAAGGATGGTTGCGGTGGGATTCACGCAAAGCGCAGTGTTCACGCGTGCAGCTGATGATTGACATCTCTATTCAGTCAGTAAATACCGCATGTGCTGTGAGTTTAACCTGCTTCTTTCACGACTCCTCTGTAACCAGTTTAAGTTGCATACATTTTGTTCTTACATTGGTGTTACGTTTGTAGCAATATACTAATATAACTAAAATAACTATTTACAGTAACTATACAGTATTTTATTATTGTGTGTATCGGTTAGTTTAAAAAATCTAATGATTGGGACACTTTTTGTCATTGAAATTCACCCTACTCTTTGAAATCATGATTGAAATACAGAATGTTGTTTTAAACCCCAAATATTTTACTTGTAACTTCATTATATTTTACTTATAACTTCATTATAATTCTTCATTAATAATTATTTAGTTATTTGTAATGTTAATTGTAAAAAAAAAATAATAATAATAATAATTATAATAAAAAATTGAAAGTAGTTTCAATGTAGCTAGCTACTTTTTGACAGTAACTTGTAGTGTAGTTAGCTACTTTTTCAGAAGGGTAGCTTGAATGTAGCTTAACTACTTTAATTTACGAGTAGCTTGTAGCTGGTCAAGCTACAGTTTCAGAGTAGCTTCCCCAACACTGGCTATAGGTTATTATATATGCTATTTGTGCAGCAGCAGTATGTCTTAGAGCTGTAAAATGACCGTGAAGAGCAGCTCAGATCATCTGATGAGAAAAGTTTGAGGTCATATTGAGATCTCTGACTGTTGACTGCTTGGCAAATCTGATCACACATTGTTAAGATCTCTTCTAGAACTCTATGTGTGAAAATACTCAGATGACAGTCTTTGTCAGGAGAAACATCTGACAATCGGGAATGTTCAGCAAAAGTCTTCAGCTGCCCAAGAGAAAGAGTTGAGATGTTACAGAGATCTTGTTTGTGATTTTCTCCCCTGCAGGATCTGAAGGGTCTCTGGTTTAAAGGTCAGATGAAGGTTTGCAGCACAGCAGATAAATGACTGACACAGACATACAGCAGCTCTTCAGCTGTGATCATGTGATCAATCTCTGCTGCTTCCCGAAAGTCACAGTGACTCATCATAATCACATCATTAAAAAGTACAGTGACTCAACAGGATTTTCACAATGTTTGATGATTGTGCAGTTCACTTTAACACACTCATCATCCCTGTTCCCATGAACTCAGTCACATAACGCAATAAACGTTAGCTGAATATTTGAGAACAACAGAGTGCTTAAGACATCGCTACCACAATGATAGGCTGTTGTGATTTGTTGCCGGTGGTTGCAACACATTTGCCAAGACATTTAGTACATTCTAGTATCTGCATAGCTAAAAAATTCTGTATCAATTCTGGCAGCCACCAAAAGCTCCCTAGCAGCCTCCAAGCAACCTAAAACACCAAGCAACCCATTGGCAACCAAAATCCTTAGCAAACTACTAACAACACTCTGGCAACCACCCAAAACACTCTAGCCAGCTCCTAATAACACCTTGGCAGGTACCCCAAATCCCTAGCAACCTCTAAGCAAAACAAACTAATAATCACCTAGCAACCCCAAACACTATAGCAACCCCCTAGCAACACTCTGGCAGCCACCCACAACTCCCTAGCAACCTCCATGTAATCCAAAAAACCCTAGCAACACTCTGGCAGCAAACCAAATCTCCCTAACAACCTCCAAGAAATCACAAAACACCCTAGCAACCCAAAACTCCATAACAACCCCCTAGCAAACACAAAACACCATAGCAACCCCCTAGCAGCACCCTGGCAGCCACCCAAAACTCCCTAGCAACCTCCAAGCAAACACAAAACACTCTAGCAACCCAAAACACCATAGCAACCTCCTAGCAACACTCTGGCAGCCACCCATAACTCCTTAGTAACCTCCAAGCAACCCAAAACACCCTAGCAACACTCTGGCAGCCACCCAAAACTCCCTAGTAACCTCCAAGCAAACACAAAACACCCTAGCAACCTCCTAGCAACACTCTGGCAGCCACCCAAAACTCTCTAGCAATCTCCAAGAAAACACAAACACCCTAGCAACTCAAAACACCATAGCAATCCCCTAGCAACGCTTTGGCAGCCACCCAAAAACACCCTAACAACCTCCTAACACCCCAAACATCCTAGCAACCTCCTAGCACCCTCCAAGTAACCCAAAGCACCCTAGCAACACTCTGACAGCCATCCAAAACTCGCTAGCAGCCATCAAGCAACCATAAACACCCTGCCAACCTCCAAGCACCCCAAAGCACCCTAGCAATGCTCTGGTAGCCACCCACAACTCCCTAACAGCCTGCAAAGAACCTAAAACACCCTAGCAATCTCTTTGCAACCAAAAAAATCCTAGAAACATTCTGGCAACCACCCAAAACTCTCTAGCAACCTCCAAGCAACCTAAAATCGCCTAGCGACCCATTAGCAACCCCAAACACCCTAGAAAACCTTCAAGCAACACAGCCACCAAAAACACCTTAGCAACCTCCCAGTAACCCGAAAATCCTAGCAATCAGAATCAGAATCAGAATGAGTTTTTATTGCCAGGTATGTTTACACATACGAGGAATTTGTTTTCATGACAGAAGCTCCACAGTGTAACAGAATGACAGTGACAGAACAAAAACACAGATAATAAAAAATAGAAAAATAGAACAAGTAACTAAGGAATAAAAATATACAAATCGACAATTGTATGTACAGGTATATAACAATAGACAGTTGTATGTACAGGTATATTATGTGCAAATTGAAATGTAGACTGAAGACTGTAGGCCTGAGGGAAGAAACTGTTCCTGTGTCTGGTCGTTCTGGCGCTCAGAGCTCTGTAGCGTCGACCAGATAATTGAAGGTGATAATTGTGTTAAATACATTCTATTATTAATCCCTCATGACATTTAAAATTGAAAATATTTTTATTTTTTTAAAGCTAATAGCAGTTACCCTTGCTGGACCTGTTTTGTCCCACATCCTAATAACACTCTGGCAGCCACCCAAAACTCCCTAGCAACCCAAAACACAATAGTAACCTCCTAGCAACATTCTGGCAGGCATTCAAAACACCCTAGAATCACTTCAGCATCAGGCAGCACTGCACAGGCTGTGTTTCGTTATGTTGCTGGTTTCCTGTGGTTCCGCTGCATGTCACTGGGGCTGTGTCAAGTGTTTGGCTTCAGTTCTGATCAGGTAAACTGCTGTGTCAGTAGGTGCTGACAGCTCCGACCCCCCACGCGACTCACGTTGACTGAGATTAGCGCTAATCCAGCCATATAATCTGACTCAGGCGCAGGGCATGGTGAAAAAGTGTAACCCCAAATCATTTCCTCTGCCTGCTGAGGATGTCCTGAGCTTTGTTTTTGTGTTCGCTCCTAGTTTCACTGAACTACAGCAGTCATGTGCACCACCATCATGGTCCTGAGCACCATCGCTCTCCTGCTGCGACGGATGTTCGTCAACCGTGTCAAACCGTGAGTCCACATCACTCTCTGTAGGATCAGAACAAAACAATTGCACAGACTTTGATGTAAAACAGTAAAAATGTGTTGTTGTTGTTGTGTAACAGGAGCCATTTCTACCTGAACTGATTCTACTCTCATACCTAATGTAATAAAAGTGATTCAGGCATATTGTTTACAAATTACATATTCACGTAATGTTATAATATAAGAGACAAATGTTACCCTGGAGCACAAAACCAGTCATGAGTAGCATGAGTGTATTTGTAGCAATAGCCAACAAATACATTGTATGGGTCTAAATGATCGATTTTTCTTTTATGCCAAAAATCATTAGCATATTAAGTAAAGATCATATTACATGAAGATATTTTGTAAATTTCCTACCGTAAATATATCAAAACGTACTTTTTGATTAGTAATATGCGTTGCTAAGGACTTAATTTGGACAACTTTAAAGGCGATTTTCTCAGTAATTAGATTTTTTTGCACCCTCAGATTCCAGATTTTCAAATAGTTGTATCTCAGCCAAATATGTCATAACCTTTCAGATGATGTATAAATCTCAATTTTAAAAAACTGACCCTTATGACTGGTTTTGTGCTCCAGGGTCACATATATGATTAAAATTTTCAATCATGCTAAATGGGGGCCTTAATATAGAAAATTAAAACAGAAAGGACACATTTTAAAATGGTAACATATTTTAATATATATTTTATATAATACATTTTAATATATGAATATATAACTTTTCATACTTATATAATAATATATCAATAATATTTTATTCAAATATTTATTGTAATTATTGAAAATTATGTATTTATATATTAAAATAGTACACTAAATGGAACACATTTGTTATTTTAATATATTAATTCATACGTTTTATAATTATATTTTACAATATATAAAAATTATTATATAATTACAAAAATATATTCATATATTCAAAAAGAATCAAATAGTTTTTAAAGACATTATACTAATTTAAATTACAATACTATAATATAATATATAATAATTACTACATGGGGAGCAACTCCTCATGTCACACAAATTGTGTTCCTCATGTAAAGCACAAGAGATTTGATTTACAAATGAATTCAGAGTTAGCATGTTACTAAACCTACACTGTAAAAAAAAATTCGTAAATTTTACGGTAAAAAAACGGGAGCTGTGGTTGCCGGAATTTTACCGTAAATACGGTAGCAACGTTTTAGGTTTTACAGTTTTAACTTAAATTTACAGTTAAATAACGTAATTTAATTAACTGATATAATGTTAATATACCAACCTATTGAAGTACTGAAATCTGTTTTGTACCTTTGTAATACACTGATAACCACCAAATGCAGGTGGTGATGAGAAAGTCACATGATGAACCAAAGCCCATCACAAGCAGCTTTTAAATAATAACATATACAGAAGGTGCACAGCGTCATTCACACAAACACTAAACACCATCATGGTAACACACATGAAACTGAAATAATGCAATAAGCATTCATCTAACAATATTAGGTGTAACACTCAACCCTAATATACAAAACTGATAAGAAAAAAATAAGAAGAAAATAGTTATTTCAACAAAAAAACAACAACTTTGAAATGTAATGCAGGGAATTCTGGGAATGTCAATTTACGGTTATTCACTGTAAATTATACAGTATTTTTCACTTCCAAAAACGGTATACTACCGTAAAATTAATGTCCAATACATGTAATGTCCAATACAGTTTTTCACTGTATATAATAGGGGAATTTACCGTTAACCATTTAACAGGTTTTTACTGTAGCATTTTTACAGTATTGTACCGTTAAATTCACAATAATTTTTAACAGTGTATGTTAATAAGCATTAAAAAAATACGGCACGGACAAATATACACTAAAGTAGTTTTGAATGACTTTTTCTTTTTTGCATCAAGCTCAGTGCTTTCTTGGGTTTGCTTTCACTATGAAGAACACATGTGATGCTGCTTTAGGATTTGGCTACAAGAATAAAACGTATTAAGCAATGTAATGTTGCTACCTACATTTTAAAGCAGACTTCCCTGATGGCTTAAAATGCTATATAGATAGAGAGCTCAGCAGGTTTTAAAACAGAGCATGTACTGTATTTCTGAGAGTTATCACAGGTTTATTTTTTCTGTCCATATCTCTAGACAGCCAGATGTGAATGGGACAGAGGAAAAGCCGCATGAGAACGATGCAACAGCTTCAAACAAATAATGATAAGAGACGTCATTCATCCAGCTGAGATTGTGAGCATAGAAACGAAACTCAGTCCAGCCTGTGAGGATCTTCTCAGGAACCCTTTCACAAAGTAAACGGTCATCCTGAAATATTTAAGAGCATTGTCAGATTGAATACAAGACGACACGCGTGCAGCTCACACAAAAGAGAGAATTCAGAGAGAGGAAAAGGGTTTTGTGCGACTCCACTGGAAGACTCCATTCCCAACACAGCAAGGATGGTTTGAACTGGACACAGGAGGAATAATAACATCTGTGAAAAAGAGCTTTCAGGACAGGATGCCATGAACTTGCCTGCTCCATTTTAAAGTTGTAATTGCTGTCCGCGGCTGAACACAGATGCAGCGCCCTGTAAATCATTCATACACAACAACCAGCCATCAGCTGCTTGCAGGACTGGACCAGCAGAGACCTTCATCTTCACCATTACCATCCAGATATGTTTTTAACTGACACGAGAGAAGAAAAGAGTTTTAAATGTAATGTAATGTAATGTATGCATTTAGCAGACGCTTTGCGACTTACAGTGCATTCAGGCTATACATTTTTTTTACCAGTATGTGTGTTCCCTGGCAATCGAACCCACAACCTTTTGCGCTGCTAACGCAATGCTCTACCAATGAGCCACAGGAGCACTAAATGAGTAATAGAGGCTCGTCTGATGAGCTCCTTGCTGGAGGAGGCAGTTTAGTGCATGAAACATTGATGCCTTCACATGTCAGCTCTTTCTGTGGATGTGAGTGTGTGTTTACCTCGCTTCAGTGATCTCACACACACACACACACACACACACACACACCTGCTCCACAGTAGTCAGTTCTTCAGCTCAGCGCACTAGTTTCCTGTAATGGTCAATCCAAATTAATTGTTTCTCATAGTCCATTTAATTAATTTCATTAATGAGACCTCTTTCAACAGTTTCTCTTAGAAATGACATTAAATGAAGATCAAACTTCATTTAATCAAACTTCATTTCTCGTTATTTTCTCCTTATTTTTCTCCTGAGGCCCTCAGTAATCCACGAAAGGCCATCTTCACCACATAAAAAAATGCTTTGGCAAATAATAATTATAACATGTCATAATCATGAGATAAAATGTAAACATTATGAAATATAAAGCCAACATTATGAGACAAAAAGTCATAATTATGACAATTGTGAGCTAAAAACTTGACTTCAAAATTGAGATGTCAAAATTATCAGATAAAAAGACATAATTGTGAGAATTTTTTCAAAATTAAGAGATATTAAGCCAGGATAATAAGACCAGAAGTCATCATTATTACAGTCAAAATTATGAGATAAAACTTGAAATGACAGTCAAAATTATGAGATAAGTCACAATTATGAGACAGAAAGCCAACATTGTCATTCAAAATTTAGATAAAAACTTCAAACTATGACAATCAAAATTATAAGATAAAAACCTGAAATTATGAGTCACATTTAATAGATAACAACTAAAACTATGAGATAAGTCACAATTATGAGACAAAAAGTCATAATTATGAGATAAAAAGGCAAAATCATGAGATGTAACAATTTTGAGATAAAAAAATCTAAATGAAATACTAAGACATAATTAGGAGAAAAAAGTCTTTAAAAGTCACAATTATGACAGTGAAAATACATAATACAACATAAAAAGTCATAATTACAACATAAAAAGTATAATCATAAGAAGTCGAAATTGTACAATATCATACTTATATACGAAATTAAGTGAGAAGATACTAAGCCAAAATAATAAAACAAAAAGTCAAAACTGAAATAAAAAGTAAAAATTATGACGGTTAAAATTGAGATATGTCATAATTATGACATAAAAAGTCAGACATTTTTGGTCATAACGACTTTAATGATGAACTCAATTTTGTTTTACCAAAACATGTTTTTTTTTTCGTATGTGTTGTAAATAGGCTTTAATACTCACGTGTATCTCCTAGATATTCAGAAGAGATCTCAATAATGTCTCACACTGTGCTCAGATTTGCCAAGACAGCAAAGTCTGCAATCAAAATTCAAAGATCTCAATACGAACTCAGATATTTCTTATCAAATGATCTGAGCTGCACCACATTTATTTTACAACTCTAGATAACTTTGTCTATTTTATCTCTCTTAATGAATTTCAGAAGAAACATGAGAATAATGAGAATAACTTGATACTTAAACTAAACAGAAGTGAGAATATAACTAAATAACTTCATTAAATCTTCTGAGATGTAAACATTAACATTAACATGAAAATCTTACCGTCTTACAGTAACTCTGGTCTCTGAGCGACATGGACTGTGAAAACAGAAAACACAATTTACAAATAATGAGTTTCCAGATAACACAGGTGTTCTTTGGACACGAGGTTTATGCCTCATAATTCATGATTATTTGCCATTGAAGATCTGACCAGCTCAAACTCCCCTGAGAGAGAATCAGAAAACACAGCTGCACTCGAGAGGGACACCATAGCACTCCTAACATCTGCTCTACGTGCATTCCTGCATTCAATCCCAGGTGTCTTACAAGAGCCCGGAGAGCTCAGATTCCACAGACGTACACGAGATGCAGAAATAAGTTTCAGTCTGTGCTTGTGCGCGTGTCTGTGCTTGTGTGCTTGTGTGTGAGTGCTTGTGTGTGTGTCTGTGCTTGTGTGCGTGTCTGTACTTGTGCGCGTGTCTGTGAGTGTGTGTGTCTGTGCTTGTGTGCGTGTCTGTGCTTGTGCGCGTGTCTGTGCGTGTGTGTGTGTGTGCGTGTGTGTGTGTGTGTGTGTGAGAGAGAGAGAGGGAGAAAGCATATATTGTAGGCTATTTAAGAGTAAATGCTGTGTGTGTGTGTGTGTGTGAGAGAAAGCATATATTGTAGGCTATTTAAGAGTAAATGCTGTGTGTGTGTGTGTGTGTGTGTGTGGAGTGTGTGTGTCTGTGCTTGTGTGCGTGTCTGTACTTGTGCGCGTGTCTGTGAGTGTGTGTGTCTGTGCTTGTGTGCGTGTCTGTGCTTGTGCGCGTGTCTGTGCGTGTGTGTGTCTGTGCTTGTGTGTGTCTGTGCATGTGTGTGCTTGTGTGTGTGTCTGTGCGTGTGTGTGTGTCTGTGTCTGTGTGCTTGTGTGTGCGTGTTTGCTTGTGTGCGTGTCTGTGCGCGCGTGTGTGGGCTTGTGTGTGTGTCTGTGCTTGTGTGCATGTCTGTGCTTGTGCGCGTGTCTGTGCGCGCGTGTGTGTGTGTGTGTGTGTGTGTGCTTGTGTGTGTGTCTGTGCTTGTGTGCGTGTCTGTGCGTGTGTGTGTGTGTGTGTTTGTGCGTGTGTGCTTGTGTGTGTCTCATAATTGATCCGGAATGCTGTTTTGTGAATACGCTATATCACATTAATTGAGAAACGTTGAGACGATGGATGCTGCCAATTATTGGAGTGACAGAAACTGTTATAACAAACCAATTAATGTCTAAAAATATTTCTTTACAGAGTCAAAACATAATAATGCTCAGAACATGTAATGGAAAGTTATTTTTGTAACAACATATTCATGCAACAATTAGTTAAAGTAAATGAGCTGCAGTCTCCATCTGCTGGCAGTAAACTTATTTATAAAATATAAATGATAAAATCTTAATTATTAAACATCACGATCATTAATTATATTATAAAAGTAATTATTATATATTAAAAAACAAAACTCAATACCTCAAGCCTCAATGACTTTCTCTGCAGATCACAAAAGATTTAGCACAATAAAGTGAACAGTTTATACGATGTGTTTAGATTATTTATTCTGAACATTTATTTTGAATTTAGTTTTCGATATTAGATTGGAAGCATATCTATAAATGTAGACAATAATATTGTTTAAAGATTATACAAATATTTTCATAAAACAATATACCCTTCTGTTACCTTAACCCTTTGTTGATCACCCTTTTCTTGTAGGATTTTAGGCTTAGATCCTATTCTACTTGTAGTTTTTTAATGCTAATTTAAGTTCCTTTAAATTTCCCTTTATGTTACACTTTAAATTTCAATGTTTAACTTCAAACCCATTCTATAAACTTTACAGGAAAATCACATAACAAGAAAAAAAAAACATTAAATCATAACCATTTATTCACATTTGCTTCCATAGCATATTCTCAATGTCCATACAAAATATCCATTAATATATGTTATAATTAACGTTTTTTCTCCTCAGTTCCGTTTAAAGAGTTATCCAGTAAAGTTCAGATCTAAAAGTCTTTATCAATGACAAAAATAAATAAATCAGTCCAACCATTCAGATGAGTAAATCAGTGTTTTTGATCCTTCTCATGGGTGGCTCCCCATCTGTATTTTTTCCCTTTGGTGGAGTCGACGATATCATCGCAACGAAACCCAATCCGAGATGAGAATCCGTGGTTGAAGGAATAAACATCAACCCAATAGCTACAAAAAAAACGACAAATTCCACGTTTACATGGATTTAGTAATCCGATTGATGTTCGCAACTATGGAGGACGAAACCTGCAAAAACAATAAATAAATAAATGCACAAATAAATAAATAAATATGCAAATAAATAAGTAAATGTGTGTATAAATACACAAAATCTTGTTTAAATACATATAGAAATAATTAAACGTGATTAAAGTAGGCAAATAAATAAAATAAATTGGTGGGCAAATGGAAAATATTTAAGGAAATGCTAAACTCATCCTATTTATTTTCCTTTGATCACTCATTTATTTCTGAATGTAGTTCCACATTTATTTTTCCTCTGCACAACATGCTAATGAGAGGGTGTCAACCATGGACTTGCTCGGGTCTTGTGATAGCTGGGGGCGTGGCTTTCCCGCTGACAGGAAATGCATGGTATAAATCCAGTATAGCCTAGTAAAGTCACTTTTGCCGTTCAACAGAGCAAGATGCATAGAAAAATTAAGCCATATTGTTCGTACAGTATCTGTGACTTTACAAACGACCCAACGGAATGGCCAGAGGTGTCATTTCCGGGCATTCGATATTCGCAAATCTAGGGACCGTCTCTAAAGTTACATACGACATTGGTATACACTTTTCTAACTTTAATAGCATTTGAGGAAAATTACTTACAGTAACACAACCAACTGTGAAGTGGTCATGTAGTTCTCGGTTATAA